TGGACTTCGTGTCGTCCTGCTGAATCCCCAGAAGATGCCATTGGAACCACAGGTGTTTAAGATACTTGATGGGGAACCCGTTCGTGATTTGCATGTGCTCACGAATCTCATGCATAAAGGCATCCCATCCCCATACCCCAAGCGAGTCACGTCCTGCTAATCTGCTGGAGACTTGTACAAGATTCCACCAGCGCTCTAGGACTGTAGCGTTCATGTAGCACAGGTTATTATAATTACAGAGCGCCAGGCTTCCCAGCTGCTCTTCGGAAGATTGAGTGCATCTTTCAGGACGTTGTTGACCATCTGTGGTCGCTGGAGTTGCGCTGGCCTCAGCCTCGCCATGAGTAGGTGCATCACTCCTTTTCAGGCCAACTTGCATAGGTGCGCATGTAGATCGCTGCTCCGAGGATGCCTCAAGGAGAGCTCCATCCGCCATGGCACCACCATCTCCGCTCGTTCTGCTTGGACCTTCGGCAGGGTCTGTAGGGCGTTGAAACTGTGAATCATGTCGGTTTCCTTCACCAAGTTCACCACCGTCCCCAGGATGCTCAGCATTTCCTTCATATGAACGCCATGTTTTTGATTCACTTCCAGTTTCTTTTGGTTGGAGTCCCAGCTCAAGTACAGCCAGTTCAGCTCGGAGTCCAAGATGATGAGGGTCGGTAGGTAGCTGCTGTCCACTCCTTGTAGGAAGAGCATGTGTTCCCTGTCCATTGCCAGACTCTGGAGGCTGTCCACGTTCCTGACCGTCACTTTGGACTCTGAGCGCATCCGCTTGGGACGCTTGGGTTGGTCCCTGGAGGACGGTGGTCACTTCCCCGTTTGGCCGCTGATGGCATTCCAATTTCCAGTGATGGAGGACTGCTGAAGCCCAGACGCTTCATCAGCTCTGCGTGGGATTGATGCAGGCCCTCGTCCATGTTGGTCGGATGCGATATGCTCTGCCTTCCTGCCCTGTGCTACTAGTACACTATCAGCTCTGAGCCTTTGATTGGACCACGGAAGCTTTGTCTGCGTGCATTTGATCAAGCATGACTTGTCGACTTTCTTGCTTTTGGCGCGCGTGTTGGCCTTGCGGTTTCTGTTGTTGACACGCTGTTCCTCGAACATGCATGATTGGGCCTGAAGATTCGTGTCCCCAGGTGTCGCACCTACGGCGCCACGCATGCTAAGATCTGCAGGTGTGGGTCTGCGTTTGAAGCATTCTCTCGAACCTTGGCGGCGTCATGCAAGTCTTCAGGCTTAGTGTCCTCAGAGCGTTCCGATTTAAGACATACCTCCCTCTCAATATGTTCCTGGAGTTTGCCAGCACTCGAGAAGGATCTGCTGCAATGATTGCGTTGCCACCTGTTAGGCCGTTAAGTGGTATGTACGTCAGGATGGTCGGCACCGATTTTGCAATTACCTGACTGCAGCCGTATGGGTGAGGATGGTGCACTGGTGTGTCGACATATTTCTGGCCTCGAAACCACACCGAGGGCACTTAGCCGGTTGTCTCATGAAATGCTGCATTCTGTGCAATCCGGGCAAAACATCCAGGATTCTGGGCTTGAGCTGGGGATGACTGTGGGACATGTGGGCTGACATCTTGTTAGTTACCACCTTCAGTCCACACACAGAGCAATGCGAGAGTGCATTGGGCCATTGTTTGACCCACTGGGTTAGCGCTGTTGTACCTGATTCTTGCAGAATCTGGTGGGAAGTGGAACGCAGAGCCAGCGTGGTGGCACAGGATTTGTGGGGATCAAACGCCCTACACGAACCAGACTCGATGGACAGACAGACAGACGGACAGACNNACAAACAGAGAGACAGACAGACAGATAAAGACAGACAGGCCGACAAACAAACAAAGAGACCGACAGAGAGACAAGCTACAGGTCCTTGACAAGGTTCAGCCCAAACGCGTCTGCAACATTATGGAAAAGTCTCACAGGTTGCCCTTGCAGGCGGGCGCTTCTCTTGTCAAATCTACAACACTCTCAACATTGGCCCACTGGGCCAATGAATTTGGAAAACTGTGGATCCCTCTTAGATTTGCATACGAAATTTTGGCACCCAACATGTCGGAGCAGCAAGTTCAAGGGTCCCTGACCTGCGGCCACTTGAATATTGATCAGGACGAAGGTGACAAACGACTTCTTCGAGCAGGAGAGGCGGAGAGACGAGGCTGAGGAATGGAAGAAGCTGATCCAGGGCTTCAGTTCTTTCAGAAGGTCTCCTGGCTAACGCCGGTTATGAGGACCGCCCCGATCCCTGTGACTGTTGGTGCTTCTGAAATGCGATGAAAGCATGAAGGGACAAAAGAGGAGGCTTTGAAGCACCAAAAATGATGACAGCTACCAGGATGGCGACCAGGGGCCCCATCCCTGTGAGCGTTGGCACTTTTGAAGCATACTGGGGGGGGGAAACTATTGGGGGGGAGAGCTGGGAATGCACAGGCGCAGGAGCATATATGGTCATGCGCTTGCGTGCTTGCTGGCCCTCCCAGCCCTCCCCATAGTCTAAGCCTCCTTCCCCCTTCCCTGTGAGTGGCTGTGGTTGGGGGGTTGGGAAGGACCTCTTCTTCCCCCTGTGGGTTTGGTTGGGGGTGGCTCTCCCCCTCTGTGAGTGTGGTTGGGGTTGGGTGGGATGGAAAGACATAACTTGAGGTCTTCCCCTCCCTCCTCCTCTGGGTATGGGTGGGCGCCGGTCTCACAAATGGAGGAATTACGTCAGCCATTTGCAAGTTTATATGGTATGGGGATGGGAGAAGTTTTTACGATTCAACAGGATTATCTATAGATGTGTAGACATAGAGATGGATCTTCATTTCTATGCAGCCGTGCAGTGTTTCTGGGGTTTCAGAAGGCCTCTATGAATGCTCGACGCAACTACAGCCAAGCAGGCTAAGCTCAGACGGGCACTCCTTTTCGCAGCACTAAGTTTGGCTGAAAATCTGCGATGCAAATACATGCAAACAGGAGCATCAATGCACAAGCTGTCTTTCCACATCCCTATTTATTTATTTTGTTGCCTAGGGGCCCTAAGCGGAAAGATCAGCTTGCCATCGACTTCTTGCTAAAGAAAGGAATCAGGATGGGAACCCTGACATCCAGGAGCCCATGCTGATTCGGAAGCAACGTGTACTCTGTACAGGTCTCCAAACAACGCCACTGACACTGGCCTGACGGAAGTGTAAATCGCCCATAAGTGGTCCTTAAAGTATACAGGGCTGAAGCTGCGGGCGTCAAAGGCCACGTTCACGCCAGCGTCGTCGACTTGGTGCCAGCCACAAAGCTCGCCCAAGCGGAGTAAGTGGCCCATCACGGGCTCACTTCCAGAAAGTGCTTCTCCAGGAAGTTCAGGTCCAGCAGGAGCTGCTGAAGGTTTTGCACGACCCTTCGAAACTTGTTTCACGAAGACAGGACTGTACTCAACAGACCAGTGGCCT